TAAACTAATAAAATGATAAAATATATAATAAACATATAAAATATATAATAAAATTTAAGAAAAATTATAAAAAAAATATTAATAAAAATTCGTTAATATTACAATATAATATTGTTAAAGATCTGTGCTACTTTTCTACTCAGAACTTGCTAAATAGGCTTTTATATTCTTTAATCTGTTGATTTTATATAACTGCTTTACTTGAGTTTTATATCACACTATTGTTTTACAACCTCTCAGTACAAGCTGATATAACTATGTTATAAATGCAAACCTAATGAAATACAGTACAATCTTCCAAATATATTCTGTAAATTCAAATATCATTGCTAGTGGAATTCAACTCTTGTCCTGCCACTTAAGGATACAACAATTTATCAACTACACTAAGTTGCCACACTACAAAATTTTATAAAAATTTTCTTAACCCACCTGGTTATTAAAACATATAAAAATTTTTTTACAATTTTTCAAAACTTGACCCGGCCAGGTTATGCAAACCAATTAATTAATTTTGCATAGCCTTATAATACAAATTTTTAGCATACTCACACATAATCAATTTTAAAGAAAATTTTTATACATAATTTTTAGATCCTGTTAAACTTGGTAATTTTGGTGAATAATAAAAATAATGATAAGCTTTAAAGTAACAATTGTATTAAACTAGATTCTGCTGAGATTAGTGATTCAAATAAATAGATGGTATTAGTTATACGATTTGTCATAATATAATGGGCACGTTTTTCGTAGTAAATTGCGACGATTTCTTAGAAAAAAACTGCGCCTACTGTTTAGAAAGTTGAGTTCTTTATCATTAATAAGCCACAAAAGTTCATTTTTTAAAACCTTTTTTTAATATATAAATTGCATACATAACTACTAAGTCGAAGAAGTTTGCTTTAAAAATGAATACATCAATAACGAGGAAAAGATATTTTTATTTAAAATACTTTCTATTTATTCTTGACCCAAAATAAAAAAAAAAATGTTATTGAATCTTAACACCATAATTTTTAGCCAATTCTATCACGTCTTGTCGCGTCCCTTTTATCAATCTTTGTCGAATACTACCGACGTTATCAACTTGTGATTCATCACATGATTTTAATAACGTATATAATAAATCTTCTAATACTATATTAAATGGTATATCTGTTAATAAAGCATTTAAGCTTGTAGAATATAAGATTATAACAAACCTTTTTTATCATCTTTTCCCAAGAGCATTAGAACTAGACTAAACCTTCCAACACGGGTCAAATAATACAAAATATTATAAATATCATCGACTGAATCATAGCTAAATATTAAGTAAGGATATATTTGTAAATTGAACATAAAAGTAAATGGCAAGTCACAATATCTATGGAAATGATACACATACACTAAAAAGTATTCTTTCATTATAAAAATGATTTTGGAAAGGTAATCGGGTTCGAAAAAGTTCGACAAAAGAGCTGGGTAAGATGCAGGAGGAATAGCCTTTAAAAAAACATAGTAATATTAAATAGGATATATTTAATTCTTAAATGAATATTGAATTAAAATTTAATAATTGACATGGTTGCTACCTTAATAAATTGATATAAATTCTCGTCATTATCTTGATATCTGCTCCAGTCCCGCTCAAATTCATGTATATTACGAGGTGTGTTTACTTTTATTACTTTTATCTATTATATAAACGAAAAATTTAACGATATTTACACAAAGGATAAATTAAAAAAAAAATAAATAACTCATACCTTGCCGTTTTCATTTTCGATTTGCTGTGATGTATTTTTTTTGTCCGTAAAAGGTGCTTTTTTTGCTGAGTCAATAATATGTTCATTCTCATCGAGGTCAACTTCTTCTATAGAGAGTCGTCTCCTATGTATACCGTTCGCGGCCAAACCATCTATATCAGGAGTCCGATCAGGCGACTTCTGTTTAACCACCGGTTCTCATGGTGAATTTATATCGAACTATTAAATATGAACACAAATCAATAAAGATTAAATTATTACCGCTTTTATAGCTTCCAACACCTTTAAATACTCGTCCTTAATAGCCTTATCGTTCGGTTCTAGCAGCAATGCATCATCCAGATCTTAATATAATTCAATAAGGAATTAGTAGACGTTAAATAACAAGGTTTATATTTGATATTTATGTAATACCTTTTTTGGCATCTTGTAATTTTCCCAGTTCTCGCCTTGCAATTCCTCTTCTCCAAAGGGCTTTTATGTTATCAGGATGTAGCAACAATCCCTTGGTACAGTCATCTTCGGCTTCAACCCATCTATAATTAAACTAAATTAGAAAAATAAAATGAAATAAAAAATTAACGCACATACTAACTTGTTAAGTTTTAAGTAAGCCATAGCACGATTTATAATGTAAACAGGTTCTTTGGGATCCAAATCAATAGCCTTTCCATAGTGTTCGATCGCTTTTTTATAGTCACCTTTTTTAAAGAAAATGTTTCCCTAAAAACGTATGATTTAAAAATTATACCGGAGAATACATGAGATTCAACCTTTATTTTTTGCAAGCTCATTTGATAAAAAAAAATAATCAAACGAAGCACTTTAAAGTGATAAGGTGGTAGCTCCAACCGTCTCTTTCTCCTGCAAGGCTTTTTCTAGCCTTAAAGTTTTCTTTCCTTTAAGATCAGGTTGACGTTGACGTGGCATTTTTGTGGGCAATGCTAACCGAAGGCCTGAACTTCACTGCAGAAACGGTGAAAATTAAATTTTTCCATATCAATATCTATAAAAAAAAATTTTATATGAAACACGGCATTTTAATCATTTTGATTGGTTGATTATCTGAC